TAAGTAATCATCAGGTGTAGAGATTTCATCATCAGGAGTATCTAGATTGCACCTCAAGCACACACACCACTAATCTGCTCATTATTGCACAAGTGCATCCATGCCTGCTTGATTTCGAATATGCCACTGGAAACACAAGGCATCTACAAAGCCCAGTCAGAGAACTGGGAAATGACCTTGAATCAAGGGAACATGGCCAGGTGAGGGGAAGATGATGAGGATTCAGGTGAGAATAGAACTACCACCTATGGAGGAGGCTCAGGCCAGAGGGAGAACCTGGGGTGGCGAGCACCCAATGGGCAGGTAACTGGGAAGAGCAAGATGCAGTTGTTAAGAAATTCTTGAATTCCAGCCAATGAAGTATGCTGTAAGGGTCCACACAGGATCCCCATATGCATGGCCACTATGGTCTGTATACTGCCCCCCACCTCCGAATACATATGCTGAAACTCTAATCGCAACGTGATGGTCTTAGGGTACGGCCTTTGGGAGTGGTTAGATCATGAAGGTAGAACCTTTGTAAACAGGATTAGACACTAAGAGACCTCACCTCCTGTCCAGTGTCAAGGAACCAGGTATATCCCAGAACTCAGACTTATACCACACCCCATCTGGGGCCTTGATCTTAGACTTCTCAGGCTCCAGAACTATAAGAAATGAATTCGTGCCTGTGAGTCTCCCAACATAGGAGGTCTTGTGGCAGGGACCCAAATGGGCTCAGAGAGCTTCATTTTGTGCCATGCTAAGGTCTCACTCAGAGAGATCTCAATGTGAACGGACTATTGAAGAGTCAGACAGGCCATCGTCGAAACACCTGCTCATCTTGTCCTCTCTACTACACATCCTGGAAGGTTTTTGATCTCAGAAATGATTTAAGAGTTAGGACAGATACTACCTTTAAAGTGAAATAATGGTCTTAGGCACCTTACTAAAAAAAAAAAAAAAAACACATTTGTTTGCTCAATGAACAAAGCACTTAGCTTAGGGCTTCACATGCAGCAAATACGCACTGTTTGCTAAATCAATCAACTAAGGGCTCTGAAGGGAATGCAGGGGTAGTTAAGTACATCAAGACTCAGAAAGTCCCAGAAAACATGCATAGTAGGCAACTGACCTTAGACAACTGGACTTGATGGTTTTACTATGCGGTAGACTGATTAAAATGCATCCATAAAAATTATATAATCATTATTTTAATTGCTACATATTTTATCATAGCTACATATTGTATTTAACCATTCCTGTAACTGTATATTTAATAACTCCCATATATCTTATTAATGCTATAAACATTTTACCTACTATTATTATTTTTTATGCCATACTGGATTACTTTCTGTGGATGTAGATGTATTCCAACAATAATAATAACAGTGACAATTTAGTTTCTATTATGTCCGTAAGGTTGTGCTACTTGCTTTAAACATATCTCTGATAATTTTCATGCATTGGCAAAATTCAGACCATAACTCTGCTTTATAGATTAAGATAGTCTAAATTAATCCAACATTACATGGCTAAAAAGGTAAATAAATGAAGATTTCCACTGTTCTGCTTACTATTTTTGAAATTGCTTTCCAAAGTGAATTAAAGGCCTTATCCCTTGAATTACTGAGTGAGCAGGAATAACAAATGGTGAAGTTCCTCAATATAAATTATCTCACTTATCCTGCACTACAATAGTTTCTTGAATTTGATCAGCAAATACAGAATTTAGCCATGAACTTGGTCTTTAAGAAGGGGCAGGACAACAGCTGCTGAGTGAATTAATGAGAAGCAATGAATTCACTATTGATGATGGGTACCATCAGTTGCATGTCACTCACTGTGTGCTCACGCCTTGCTTGTTCTGCTCAAGTGAGGGGCTGTTTCTTCCTTGGACACCTCGTGCTGTTAACTCTATACTAGCAGGGTCTTTTTTTTTTTTTTTTTTTTTTTTTTTTTTTTTTGGTACCAGGAATTGAACTTAGGACCTTGTGCTTTCCAGGCAGGCTCTTGTAAAGCTGAATTATATGTCCAGCTCTACCAGCAGGGACTTCCTAGATCTCCAATTCAACTACTATTGCTTCCCAAACTAATGTCAATGTTGACTCCTCTTCTCTACCTTTAAGACCACAGTCTTCAGCTATACTCATGAGCTCCACCACCCTCTTTCCAATCCAATCCCAATCCAATTTCCTTGCCACATCTTGCCCAGGGCTGCCCAGCTGCCAGTGCTACAGCATGGTGAGTTACTAGAAATTTCAGGACATCCCACTCCTTTGTTTTTGCACATTCCTTTCTGGTTGAAATGCCAACATCCATCTCTTATGCATTTCATCTTATGACTCAGAACTAATTCAAAGTCCACAAAGAAAGGAAATACATCTTTTAAATTTTTGTATTTCCATATCCTGGGTCTGGCACATAGTAGGTTTCAATAAATATTTGCTCTGGATTAATTCAAGGTTTAATAAAAACCTGCGTTTTCTGGGAAGACTCTCTTGAAGTCCAGGAAAAGTCGCTCCCTTCTGTGTGCTCCCTGGAGAACCTGATATTGTGCCACATGGTTGCATAATGAAAATATTTGTTTCCCAGTCTTTCTCTAGGGCTAGATGCTGAGCTCTTGGGTGGCACAGACCAAGTCTTACTCATGTATGGGTCCTTCACACTGAGCACTGGGAGCAGTTTAGAGTGAGCCTCCATAGATTTCCTGGAACAGCAACTACAACTCTCAAAGCATCACGTGATGTGAACAGGGCTGCGTTATGCTTCTCATTTTACAGATGAACAAACAAGGACCCAGGCAGAGAAAGGAAAATATGTCTCGGCTGAATTTCCATTTGAAATCAGAGGCCGGGGCTAGACAACAGGTCTCCCAAAGCCCAATGAAGACCCAGTTTGTTGGTGGCCACCCACAGAGGAGACCGGGCACTGTGCTTTGTGACCCATCTGGAGAGCTCGCCCTGAGCTGTTACTGACTCTGGCCTCGGTTTTCATGGGGTGAAACTGGATCGAGGGAACCTGCTCAGTTTGTGGTTGCAGTGACAGTCTAAGAGATGAATGATTCTGCCTCAGACGGGGGTAGGAAGAGATACGTACCTTCTTTTAAAACTCTGCTCTAGGGTGGCCACCTGTATCAGCAGCATCCTCTCTCATCTCTGGCCAACCTCCGGGAACTTCCAGTGCCTAGAGTGACTGTTGTACCAGGTGGGCACAATTAGAAGCAGCTCTCCTTTCATTCAAAAGCGTGCTGCGGCAGACAATGAACGCTATGCCCTGGCCTCACTGGAGTCTGAGCCACCCAAGTCCAAGACCTCACCTCTCCCAGAGTCCCTCCAACAATCCATTCCCAGGTCTGACCCCGGCCCTTCCTTCTTCTCCTAAAAGTTGTTTGTCCCTGACTCATTTGCTTCTTATTTACGGGGTGCACTAGGAAAGGCATTCAGGGTCTAAATTCAGGTCCCCGCCACCCCGTGTTCCTGCCTCAGCCAGTGCTCCAGGGCCGGCCCCCAAGGTTAAGAATCATCCCGGGGGGCAATCGCAGCCTTTCATCCAAGCCCAACAATAAACGAGCCGTGAGTGCACGTGCTGGCGTGAGGAGGCCCCGGGGAAACCTGGCAGGGGCCCGCAGCTGCTCTCCAGAGGCAAGGGTGCAGAGTTGGGTCCCTCTTGTCCTCTGAGCCCTCTGGACACTGCCCTCGAAGGGAGAATTGCTGATTCAATGAGGTCGGAGCCAAGGCCGAGGACACAAGCCGGTGACCCCAGCACAGCCAGCAGTAGATTTCTGCTTAAAGAAGCGCTGGAGAGAGGCGAGGACACTGACCCTGAGAATCCACGGAACCAAGTCCACGTCGGCCTGGCCGTGCACTCTCCTTCTGCAGACCCGAGCTGGGCCGTGCGGCGCCGAGGCCGGGGGAGCAGGTTGCAGGGCTAGGGCGCGGGGCGCCGGCTCCCAGGGAAGGCACAGGAGTGTGAACTAGGTCTCGAGGAACCAGCAGAGCTGAGGCTATTCCGGGGCTTGGGGACATGGGTGTCTCCGCCAAGGAGCTCCAGCCTGGCCGTCTCGGCGTGCCCGGGCGCGGAAGGATATTGCATTTTGTTTACCTTACCCGCAGGGGCACGGCCAGCCGGGGAGCAGGGAAGCAGTAAAGGAAGCGACAAGCTGCGCCAGCGCCCCCGACCGGCTTCACGGGACTCGCTCCTGACGCTGATTGACAGGCGCGCGGATCAATGAGGGTGCAGCGGGCCCGGGCGGGGCGGGGTCTGCTTGGGGCGGAGCCAGTGCGGGCTCATCGGGGGCGGGACGCAGGCTGGGAGCGAGCAGTGACTTTGAATGGGGAGCCGCGCGCGCGCACTTTCGCGCGCACCCGGCCGGCTCACGGCGAAGTCCCTGGCCACGTAAGTGACTATTAATACCGCGGGTCTGGGATGCGGGCGTGCAGAGCGCCGGGCTGAGCCTCGGCACCGTCGGCCACCCGCTTTGATTTTTAGACACAGCCCTCGCTCACCGGCTGGTGGCAAGGAAGAAAGAAGGAAAAGAAAGGAAGAAAGAAGAAGGAAAAGAAAGACACCAAACCATCAATTTTCTACAAAAAGAGACCAAAAAAAAAAAAAAAAAAAAAAAAAGCCAATCGCGCCGCCGGGCAGTGTGGTTCAGGGTACAAAAGGAAGACTGACGGAGTGTTTGCAAATTACTCCAAGACCCCGATTCTGCCGCGGAAGGCGCAGCGGGTCTGCAGCGCCCCGGGGCGCATCCTCTCCCTGGCTCCGCAGGCGCCAGAGCTCGGCCGGCCGGGAAGGTGGAGCGTGGAGTCCGGCTCTGCGCCCCAGAGGAGGACGGAGCTGACCTCGCCGCGCGGCCCGCGCTGACCCCGCCGTCCCCGTCCCCGCTGCGCCCGGCGCGCCGCTCCTGCCCGGCCCCCTGCGATCTTTTGTCGGCAGCTCGGACTGCTCCAAGTTAAATGCTCCTTCGCTATTTTTCTTTTTGTGTGTGTTTGTTTCATGTTTTTTTTTTTTTTTTTTTTTTTTTGGAGCGCCCTAGCAATCTCGGAAAAGCCTCAGACGCCACCTACAGTTGAGTCGTGGGTAACTGCCCTCTCCGGCAGCGGCCACCCCTCCCTTCCACGCCCCCCACCCTTTCCACCCAAAAAAGGGGGTGCAGCGCGTATTCGGGCTGCTTTGCTTCGCGAGAGCCGGTAGACCCGTGCTAATTTCCTTTCCTTTCCTTTTTTTTTTCGTTTTTTTCTTTTTCTTCTTTTTTGTTTGATTTCTAACGCGTACAGACTGAGCCACTGCCGTGCGCGCCAGGAAAATTGCACAAAACTCCTAGGGATTCTCTGAGCTCTGGAAAGCCGCCCAGGGATCGCTTCTGGAAACCGGGCTCGGCAGCTCCGTACCTTATTTCTCATCCAGATCCACGTTGGAAAAAAGAGGGAGAGAGAAACTAAGAGCGCGGCGATTCTGCACATTTTGGATAACAAAAGGACCCGAGTTGGCTGCGCACCGAGCACCCCCGGGAGCCGGGCGGAGCGGACGGGGTGCAGGCGGCGCCCACGGGGACTCCTGACTCCTTCCCTGCGTGGCCCTTCGCCTGTGCCCTCTCTAGTCCCCTCCTAACGCCCGTATCCAGGAGGCGCCTGCAGCCTGCAGCGCTCGCCCGCGACTCCTGTCCTCCGGGTGTGTGTGTGTGCGTGCGCGCGTGTGTGTGTGTGTTGGTCGTGTGCGATCCCCACACCCATGAACATACACAGGTCCACCCCCATCACAATAGCGAGATATGGACGATCGCGGAACAAAACCCAGGATTTCGAAGAGTTGTCGTCTATAAGGTCCGCCGAACCTAGCCCGAGTTTCAGCCCGAACCTTGGCTCCCCGAGCCCGCCCGAGACTCCGAACTTGTCGCATTGCGTGTCTTCCATCGGAAAGTACTTGCTGTTGGAACCTCTGGAGGGGGATCACGTTTTCCGTGCCGTGCATCTGCACAGCGGAGAGGAGCTGGTGTGCAAGGTGAGAGCCCCCCCCACACACACCCGGGAGGCGGCGGGGCGCCGAGGAGGGGCTGCTTTCTGTCCTCCGGAGTAAGGTCCCCGCCTCGCGCTTTGGAAAGGGGACTAGGGTCCTCGGACCCCTGCGTCTGGGGCGGGTCTCGGCTTGGCTCAGCGGGTGTATTTATTTTCCGCGTCCGCGTGGGGCGAGTTGCGAAGTTTTTCGAGCGTCTCAGACAATGGGGCGGGCTGCAGCGGGGGCGTCTTGGGGATAGCCCGGCGCACGCGGACGTGGACACGCGTGCTCTGCGGGACTGAGCAGCTGGGGGCGCGCGGCCGGTCTGCCACCCACGCGAGGTTCCTCGGCTTGTCGAGCCCCTCCCCTCCCCACCAGACCAAGGGATCCCCCAGTAATCGGAGGACCCCAGGACTGGGTCCCTTCTGCAGCCTTTGTTAGCAGTGTGCAGGTGTTGAACCTTTGTCCTGAAGTGTCCTCTAAGAGACGCCCACGGAGGGGTCCCTGCTGGCGGAGCCGACGGTCGCGGCCCGGGAAAGGAGTTTCCCCTCGCTCCCTCTCTCCCTCCTTTCTTTTCCTCCTTCCTTCCTTCCTTCCTTCCTTCCTTCCTTCCTTCCTTCCTTCCTCTCTCTCTCTTCCCACCTTGCCTCCCTCTCTCTCTTTTTTTCCTGCCAGGGCCCCCGCAAAGGAAGGTTGGGTGGGAATCAGAGCACCTTTGGATGACCGTGGAACCGTTTGGGTCTTCTTGCCTCCGGATTCCCTTGTCTGCTGCCTCCCTTCATCCCGGCTCGTCCTCCTCCTTGCACACACACCTTAGAGGCCAGCATTTCTTTGGGACTCCCAGATTTGCATGCTAATAGGAAGCTGAACACTTGGGTTTCCTGTCTGTGACCCTGCACAGGGACTGGCTTGTGTCTGTGTTTCTGTGTCTTTGTGTGTGCTCTGGGGGCATCAGACAAGGGGCCGAGGAGAAACGTTTTTAAAAAATGATTAAATAGGAAAACATTACACCCTGGAACTACATGTAGACCAAGAATTTATAGGCATTTAATTTTAGATTTGCTCACAGTTGTAGCCTTTTGGGCGGGAGTCTTAGGATCCATTCTAAGCTTGAAATGAATGGCTGCCCCATTTCCCCATTAATCAGAAAATGCTTTGTGGAATAGCCTTATATTTCATGCTGGACTGGAGTGTTTCATTGGCAAAAAAAAAAAAAAAAAAATCAGATTGGTGGTTTCGAATCTGTTTGGAATTGTTCCTCGCAGACCACAGGGAAAAAGTCAGAGACTTCAAACTCTGCTCCTTGCTGATCCTGAGCATTTGGTATTTGGCATCTTTTCCACGTCAGTGAGCATAGAGCAAGTGCGCCCAGGGAGGAAAATTCAGTAGGCGACTGAGCTGGAAGGGCTTCTCAGAAGTCCTGCAAGGTTGCACAATGGGGTAGTCATCCTTTGAAATGAATGAATTCGCAGGGCTGCCGCTGTCTCATGACATATGCACATTCACCCAGCACTGAGTGTTTTCTCTCCTTTTTTGCCCAACCTAAGTACGGCATTTTCGTCTTTTTCAAAGGCTGGAGGTGCTTTTAAGTGGGGACTGCAGTCCAAGTCTGCAGGAGCATCTTGCTGTTATTTCTTTGTTTAAAATCAGAGATGACACCGGCCTGTGCTCTTTCTTTCCGCCTTCAGATCTTTCAAGACATATTTCACTGCAGGCCGACCTCAACGTGGCTTTCGCAGGCTTGCTCTCTGGCCTAAAACTGCACTTCATCTGCCGGTTTAGTTATTGCAAAGACTGAATCAGCCCCTTGCCAATTATAGTGTGGCTTCAAGTGCATTTAAGTGCAGTATCATTGTTCTGCTTGACAGAGGTCACCCCTGTGAGACACAGCAGCTTGTGTTTTTCCTACCTCTTTCCCAGAGGTGCCGTGGGTGACTTCTGCAGTCGTGGAAGCCCCAAGTACTTTTAATAAAACAGCTTCTGTGAATCACCGTGAGAAACAGCAAGCTCCTAACTGACTTTCAGGGCTCAGTGAAATCTGCACATTGAATCCAGCTCCTTTTTGATGTCTTAGGGGGTAGGGTTCAGGTTTCATAGCTCTGTGCTGACCCAAGTGGAAAAAAGGAAAGTCTGCAGAAACAGATCAAATGTAAAGATGCTGTTTACTCTGTGGGATGTTCTCTTCAGAGGGGACAAGAGCTTCCGGGACGTGTAAACAGAACAATCCCGCCTGTTTATTGTCTCCCTGTGCCTACAGGGTGGCAGATGACTAAGGGAGCTTCAAGGGTCCTTCGCTGGATCCTTTTCACAGAAAAGCAGGGAGCTCCCTTGCGATTGACATCATTGCTATCCTGGCAGAAACTTTCTTTTGCAAAATGTTATTAATGGTGGCCTAGTCTTCCTGCCTTATCTGAACTGTCACATTATATAACTGAGGCTGCAAAGGAAACATTTGAAGGAAACTGGCAGCCAGGCTTCTGGCTGGATTTTTGCACTTGAAAGTGCTGCTTGAAATACCAATCCAAGCCCGTAAATGCTGGTTACAGTTACTAATAAAAAGTTTGGCTCCTTCGCATTTGGGAACAGAAATACTCCTCTTATTTTTTATTTTTTGTTTTCTGGCCACCATCTTGGAATTTGGTCTCTTCTACACAGGGGTCCGAATGCATTTTGAAGGTGCTATGCATGTGTTTGCTCTTTTTTTTAAATTCAGTATTCATTCAGTTTTTCAGCAGTGGGGCGAGATACTGGGCTAACCCCGATGAGCCAGGAAAAAAAAAGGTTTCTTTTTTTCTGTTTGTTTGTTTTTTAACAAAGACATCTGGAAACAGGAAGTATTTTCTAAATACTCTAACGCTGGATCCAGGCGACAGACCCCAAAGCCTGGCTTGCAGAGAGATCCTGCTTCTTATATAATGCCGCGTGTTGACATCCGCCACGGCACAGCATTTATTCCTCCGTGAAATCACCCAGGCTTCCTGGGCTGGGTGTGAAAGTTGAAGCAGGCGCCGGCGATTCCTAATTGAAGGAGCTTCTGAGGCTGCCACGCCGAGGTCACCGTCTGCCAGGATCAGGGTGTGATTTGTGGTCTCTGGAGAGGCTGTCGGCTTCATTCTTAAATTCCAGGGTGTAGTGGCAGCAGCCAGGCTGTTTCCCCGAGATGCCTCATTACGGTTCATTCACAATCTTCCTGTTAGCTTGGCTTCCTCAGCCCCAGTTAGCACCTGGAGGCGCTTATTGTCTCTGTTTGACTCACAGATTTTTTGTAATTCATTCGTGGATTTTTACATGGCAGCCCGTGTCCCTGTGAGGGCCTCAGAAACCCTATGGTCCCCAGGGGTCTCCTGGCGCAGTGTATGCGCTGGGCAGTGGGTGGTGCCAGCAGAGGCCCATGCATTTAGTTCATCAGATTCCTGGGGGAGGTGTGGCCCTGGGAAAGGTCCTGAGTGTCTTTGTATGTTCCTTCATAAATAAGGCAGTCCAGTGACCCTACGCCTTTCACCCATCCTGCCCAGCTTAGTGGAAGCCCAACCTGGATAAGAGCACCCGGGTTGGTGGGGTTTAGTCTAGCATTTGCCCCACCACGTTGCAAATTAATGAGCAACAACCAAAAAGTGATTTGGGAATCACGGTGGTGCTCGGTTTAGTGCAACTACAAGGAGGCTGAGGCAAGGAGATGGAAAGTTCAAGTCCAGCCTGGGCATCGTAACCAAGCCTTGTCTCTTTGTCTGAGGGTGTAGGTTAGTGGTAGAGCCTCTCTGGGCTTGATTTCTAGTATCTCAAAAAAAATTGCTCAATGACTGAAAAAGGATGAGAAGCAGACAAAGCACCTGTTCCTAGGGCTTTTGTGGTGCAAATTGGGGCTGTTCAGGGAAGCTCCCGCTCCTGCCTGGGCTTTGCCCTCCCTGATAAACTCTCACCCACATTCCTAAAGCCAGGAAAACCACTTTAGAGTCCAGGCCCAGCAAGGGGTTCCCAGTGGAGCTCAGATCCTGAAGGGAATGAAAGCTTTCTTCTGTGATTGCAGGGAATCTCTGCAGTGTGCGTTTCTCTGTTAAATCTGCTTCAAAGGGATCCATGGTTGTTCATTTTCTTAAGCATCAGTGAGGTGGCATTTTGTAGGCTAATTCTGATTCATAAAAAAATCATTGCATAACTGCTTCATTGAGTCAGAGGAAAGAAGCCAACCGCTTCCTCATTGACAAGGGTCGTGTCTGATACCGAGCTCCACCACTAGGGGCAGGAGTTCTCAGGCCACCCTGAGCCTCAGTTTCCACATCTGCGAAACATGGATTAAGTTTAGAAAACTGCTCCAGGCATGGGTGTGCACGCCTGTCCTCCCAGCACTTGGGAAGCTGAGGTAGGAGGATCATTACAGGTTCACATTCAGCATGAACTACATAGTGAGTTTAAGTTCAGCCTCAACCAGAGAGTGAGACCCTGTTTCTAAACAAACAAAAACACTTAGAAAACTGCTAGGCAAAGTCTAAATATTTATTTAGAGTATTAGCTGCTAACATAGAGTGCTTATTAATGTGCATTTTTGTTCTGTCTTTTTTTGTTTGATTTTGAAGGTAGAGGAGGTATTTTCTATATAGCTTGGGGGTGCTGCTTTCTGCTTTTGCCTTCTATAAACACAGGTGGCTGGGGTAACAAAAGAAACTGTAACCCAGTTGCGGTGGCTGCAATCAGTCCCAGCATTCTGGGAGGCTGAGGCAGGAGAAACTCAAGGTGGAGCCCAAGATGGGCAATTTCGTGAGACCCTGTCTCAATTTTTCTTTTAATACAGAAGGGAGCTGGGGATGCATCTCAGTGCAAAGGACCTGGGTTCAATCCCCAATATTCCAAAATAGAAAATAAGTAAATTTACCATTTGAGTACTACATCCATTTTCATTTTCTGCCAGACTCCTCCCAGTGCTGCAGGTGAGGTATCGTTTATCCATTTTGCACAGGAGGCTCGGAGGCCCAGAGAAGTGAAGCTCCTTACTGGTGCAGTGCGGCACATAGCAGACGGTGCTGGGTGGTGGGGGTCCGAGCTCAGTGATCCTTGCGGGTGGTAGTCTGCCTCAGCGTGAGTGGGTGGCAGTGCTGACCGGGGTCCTGTTAATCCTGTCCTAGGTGTTTGAGATCAGCTGCTACCAGGAGTCCCTGGCCCCATGCTTCTGCCTGTCCGCACACAGCAACATCAACCAGATCACCGAAATCCTCCTGGGCGAGACCAAAGCCTACGTGTTCTTTGAGCGGAGCTATGGGGACATGCACTCTTTCGTCCGCACCTGCAAGAAGCTGAGGGAGGAGGAGGCCGCCAGACTGTTCTATCAGATCGCCTCGGCGGTGGCGCACTGCCACGATGGGGGGCTGGTGTTGCGAGACCTCAAGCTGAGAAAGTTCATCTTCAAGGATGAAGAGAGGTAAGGCTCAGCCCCACCTACCGCACGCGCTGCCCTGGCAGCTCCCAGCTCTTCTGAGAGGTGTCACCCAGTGTTCAAAGCCCAGGTGACCTGTTTGGATGTGTGTGTGGTTTGGTGGCTGCACATCCATGTGGCATTTTTCATGTCATCCAAAGCAGGATTTTGAAAATTCTGCACCGTCAGGAAACTTGGTACATAGAATCAGCTGCATATCATTCAGTCCTCTTTTGGTAGCTAGTTCCTGGGCACATATTTGTGAATGTGAAAATGAATTAGAAAGCCTAGCCTTTAAAAGAAGGATCACAGCCAGGTGTGCTGGAGCACGCCTATAATCCCACCACTCAAGAAGAGTGAGCGGTGGCGAGGTGGTGGGGACCCACCCTGGGGGTGTCAATGCAGCCACTCTGCCGCCTTGGCTGTCCCCGAAGACAGCTTCACTGAGGGCAGGTTCCAGGTGCCGTCCACGGTGCTGCTGTGTTCCCCTTAGGAAGAATGCGCTTTTCCAGGGAGAGGTGGGGACAGGTTTGTACTGGGTGCTCGGTGTACTCTCAGGATCAGAGCTCCTGTAGCTGACGTCATGGGTTCTCAGAGGGTTTCTGAGCCCTCTTATCGCTGTCTGGGAAGCAGCTGCCGAGGTCAAGGCCTCAGCTTCCAAAGGAGGCCTGGCTTGGAGCATCTGTGGATGGCTGGACCGACAGACTGACAGGCTGTGCACTGCATTCGTCCACTTGGGTAGCACTTCGCAACCCATCTGGATCTGCACAGACCTACCATTGCACCTTTCTGCTGTCCAGCTAGGTTACTGTCTAGCCTAGTGGCCCAGGCTATATTCAAGTTATTGCTCATAGAATTCCAGGGGCCTCTGAGAGAGTCATCTAGTGGTGTGTGCTCCTCCTCCTCTTTGTCCTTCTTCCTCCTCCTGTTTTTCCTCTTCCTCTTCCTTCTGTTTTTCCTCCTGTTCCTCCTCCCTCTCCTCTCCCCTCCCCATACTTGGGAAGTTAAGGTTTGGCAAGCATTTTAGGATTGGCAGAGGGAGCCTGGCTATCGCTTGACCCAAATGGAGTCATTCCATGGGCTTTCATGAGGCATGCTCATACCCAAAATGCAGAGGCCTCCTGGCTTCTGGAGCTGAAGAGGTCAATTATTTCCCCATATTTTGCATGCAAAGGGGGCCTTTGGCCACTCGTACCCTGGCCTTTGACTGTGACAGTGAATGTAGCCTGAGGTTTTCATGTGGGGCGGCCCTGGCTGCTTTTGTTCTGCAGTTCAGCTGCGTCAGCCCTCACAGCCTGAAGACCCCACTCCCGGGTACGGTTTTGCCTTAAACGACCTGTGTGACCTTGGCCTATCTCAGCCTCTTCCACCTGTCTGTTGTCCTGGGTCTGAGTTCATGTTATAACATCGAGGACTGCATTTGTTTGAATATTCTCATTTGGAAGGTAGGTAGGTATAGATGTAGATAGATACAGATATAGATATAGATATAGATGATATAGATATAGATAAATATAGATACAGATATAGATATAGATATAGATAGATACAAATGATATAGATATAGTATAGTAGATATAGATTATATAAATATAGATATAGACAGGTATAGATGATATAGATATATATAGATAGACATAGATAGATATAGCTATAGATATAGATAGACATAGATGTAGATGATACAGATATAGTTAGATAGAGAGCCCCAGAGAATATAAAAAAGGTATTTTCTCTGTCCCTCTGTGTCCCACCTTCCTTGGAAATTTTGATAGCTTCATCTACAAAACATAACAGCCGCTGTGTGCTCTCTTCTCCCCAAAAGTAGTTTGGCCGACTTAATTCTCTCCAGCAGTGGGAGAAGGGAGCGTGCTTGTGTCTGCCCTGCCTTATAGCCAGGGGCTCTTGGAATCACAGAGATGAAGTCTCAGAGTTGAAGCCCAGAAAGAGCCAGACTTAGACAAGGTTCTCTACTAGGTCACCCAGTTCTCAAGAAACTCACTTGCCTGCAAGAGGGGGTGAGCACCCCGAATTCCCTCCCCTCTCCCACGGGCACCTGTGTGTCTAGGAAAGGGTCCTCCTCCCTGGTCTTCATGTCCCAGGGTCTGGGGAGAAATGTGATGGAGGATGCGTGCAAACTGAGGACGCAGCCATTCATCACCCCTTACGGGCCTAACCCTGTGAGGTCCCCCTGGACACTGTCACAGCCCTGGGACTCTCGGGCAGGGTCACAGCCGGGCCAGAAGGGACAAGTGTCTCTGTCCCTGCAGCTCTGCCAAGGTCACTTCAAGGACCTGCTAAGCCCTCTCATCAGTAGCTTGTAGACATTTTTCTCCCAAACAACTATCAAGTTACTGTGAAAGGTGAATAGAGGCTAGAAGCTGTTTTTGTTCTTATTGTTGCTTTGTTTCCTTATTGTTGTCTTAATTCCAAATGTGAAACTTCTGGTTTTGTCACTTACCATCATTTTGCCCCCTCTGCTTTCTGGCTGCATCAGGTTTCAGTCTCTGTCTCTTTCTGTCTCTCTCTTTCTCTGTCTGTCTCTGTCTCTGTCTCTGTCTCTGTCTCTCTCTCTGTCTCTCTCTCTGTACTAAGGATTGAACCCACAGCCTTTGCAATGACTGAGCTACATCCCCAGCCCTCTTTTGTGTTTTTAATTTTGAGATGTCTCACTAAGTTGCATGAGCTGAGCTCCATCTTGTGATCTTCCTGCCTCAGCCTCCCAGAGTGCTGGGATGACAGGTGTGTGCCACCACTCCCATTTCGCGCTTAGCTTGTGTTTCCTGAGCGGTGAAGGCAAGAGTCAGGTCTTCGGATCTCGTTGAGGCACGGTGCATACAACCAATGCAGGCTTCTCACCTAACATTGACAGTGTTGGATAAATAATGGGCTGAATGTGGAAGACGTGGAGCATGTCTGTGACTGGCTCCTTTGCTCAGGGTCTTGGGATCAAGAGTGCTGATGTGATTGAGCATAGTGCTGCACTAAGCCTGCCACACTCGCTTTGTGGTGAATTCCTCTTCCTGAGGGCTGAGCCTCTTGTCCTAGATGTGTCCCTGGGCAGCGGGCGATCCCTAGCTCCATGCTAGCTGTGCAGGGCAGCGTCTGCCCCTGCTCACTCTGTACTTCTGTGACCGCAGGCTCAGGTCTGGGCTCTGCGCCTTTCTCCTTCTGCCTCTGTGTTGAGTGGGCAGTGGCTGTGACTCTTCCCCTGGGGTTTTGCTTTGATCTGGGCCCTGGACTTGGTTTCTGGTCAGTGGTCTGCTCTGGATGTCACTGTGTCCGAGCTCGGTCACGGGAGCATCCTGGAAGGCGTGGGTTGGCGTGAACTGGCTTATCATGAGGTTTGTGGGCGCAGCAGGCGCTCGCTAAGGGCCAGGGATTGCCACGTGCTGTCCCCGTCCCCGAGGCTCCTTGGGTTGTGAGCAGTGAATTAGTTTTTCCGGGCAGCCCTTGCTGTGCACAGCAGTGCCCTGGTATGCAGGGCCTCAGAGTGGGGCCACATCCTCTTCCAAGGTCTCTCTCTCTCTTTTTCAGTGCTGGGGATTGAACCCAGGGCTGTGGCATTGAGCTACATCCCGCCATTTTTACTTTTTTTTTTTTAAATTTTGAGACAGGGTCTTGCTAAGCTGCCCAGGCTGGGTTCTAACTTAACGGTCCTCCTGCCTCAGCCTCCCAGAGTGCTGAGGTGACCAGCGTGAACCATCACGTGGGCTCTCTGGTCTCTTCTGTTTGAAGGTATTCACTGAGTCAGTGGTAAGATGATGACTCTCAGGCCCAGTGAGGCCCAGAAGTGCCACTGAATGTCCCCAGAGCAGGTTTTCCAAGCCTCCTGTCCAGCCTGGCCTTGGTGCTCTTTCTGCTCCATGCCTCAGGTGCTTCTGCACAGCTGAAATGGAAACATTTCGGGACTCAGTGTGGAGCAGCACTTTGAAGAATTTGATGTCTGGCCTCCAGTGAGCTACCCTGGGCTTGCTGTTTGCGTCCACAGTTCCCACTGTGAAACCTGGGATGGAGCTGGGTGCGGTGGTGCACGCCTGTCATTCCAGCACTTTGGAAGGGTTGTGAGTTGGAGCCCAGCCTGGGCTACTTAGTGGCTTAGCAAGATCCTGTTTTAAAAATTAAGAAGAGAGCTGGGGATGTAGCTCAGTGCAAGGTTCCAGCCTCAATCCCTAATTGTGTAAACAGATGAAACCTCATCTCCTCTGTGTGGATAGAAGCTGCAGGGCTACAGGGTGGTCCTTGATTCTGATTAAAGCTGAAAATTTGTCCAGATCCCCAAAAGAGGTACTGGGTTCCTGCCAGCCCCCTCTCCCTGCTGTGGTGTTGGGGCGCTCAGCTTGGTCATCCTGTTGTTAGGAGCCCTGTGTTGCAGTCTGGGCCTTCAGGAAGCCTGAGCTTAAGAGAAGGGCCTTGGCTCCTGGAGAGTCTGAGCCGTTCTCTGGGTCCAGTCCTGAGCTTGTGCTTATTCAGAAACTGAACCTCGCTGCGTCCCTAACCTCCGTGCTCTGTTGCTGCACCTGCAGAGTGGGAATGGCAGCACGACCTTCCTGAGAGTGTGAGAGGAGTGAGTGTAGGTGCTCACTGGGCTTGACATAGAATGGACCACCTGCAGGCAGCTGCTCCCTGACCTCTTCTGCTCCACATCTGGTGTGACTTTTGTCACATGGGCTGCAACCCATGCTGCCTAGCACAGGAAGAGGCCGTTTCCCAGCACCTGTACTCCTGGGGTCCACTTGGTCACAGATCAGGGTAGATGCATCTTCCATGAGGTGCCCTGTGTGAGCAGAGAGAGAGCCTCTTGCTTTGTGGTTTCTTCTTTGGGTCAGAGCTCTTATGTCTTGATGTGGCAGCTGGCTGTGCTGCTCAGGGCCTGCTCCTGCAGTGGGGACTCTGGGACCCTCTGCAGGAAGAGCTGATGGCCCTGGGGCTCTTGGTGTCGTAAGTGCCACCTGTACACCCCTCCCCACCAGTGGAGGCCTGGTCTGTCTCTGGATTCTTCTTCA